TGGACACTAGAGAGAATGCAGCTTTAACACATGAAGCTTTGACTTCCACATCCTCTTTTTGGGGATGTTTATTTATTTAACTTTGATTGTTCCTTATTTACTCATAAACATTGAATGTTACACATACATATTTCTACTTCTCAGGGTCTTTAATACTACATTTTTCAAACGCAGCTCTACAAGACAAGTCATTAATTAATCTTTAATTAATTAGGTAATAGTAAAGGACTCATTTTAGTTGATTTTGTGCCTTCGTGGTGCAAATCAAATAATCCTGTTCATTTTGGGACAGTTGCCTAATTCGCCCAGTCGGTAATCCAGACCTGCAAGTACCTGAAGTTGGAATGTTTACGTATTCTTAAAAGCAGATATCTAGTCATTTAAATCATTTGGCAACATAAGAAGTTTGTCTTATTTTGTTGAATAAACAAAATGTTTTTGTAGGAAAATATTTGCAGCACAAAAAACAGTCTATAAAGTGAGTTATGTCCTGCTCCTCTTCTTGTTCTCATTTACTTTTTGCTGTGAGCTTTATAGCTTCACATCCTCTCTGCACTGCGTCCTCCATATTATCCGTTGTAGGAGGAAGAAGCATCAACATCCATCCCGGTGACCTTTCTCCTGTTTCTGCAGCATCAAACCCAACTAGCCTCCACTTTACTGCTGCCTATAAACCCGTCACCACCAGCACCAGCACCATGACATACCGTCCTCCTCCCTCTGCTCTGTCTCCTAAACCTTCAACAAAACACGTCTCTGACACGACTTATCTCACCAGAACATATACCTACTCCTAAACACTTTTATCATTATCTCAGTTTTATCTTACAAATACACTTTCAGAGCACAGATCATATCATGCAAAAGCTTCTATGAACTAATCTCATTATAACGCACCACTCTGGTCTGTAATGGTTTAGCCACATCTGTGACATTAAAACACAGAGTTATCATGCTTCAGATGCATCACTCTGTATACTAGAGAGTTGCATTAACGCTGACCTTTCTCTGTAATCAGGCTGTTCAAATGTAAAGCATTTAATCTGCAGCAGCTCTGATTACATTATAGAGACGGAGCAGCAACACATGTGGCACAATGTTTGTTTTATCATTCATGTGAATATTAGCAGATCACTGAGGTATAATATACAATATTATATATTTATGTTGTGAAGCTGGAGGATTCTAGAGTTTAAATAGTATAATTTTATATTAATAACACAGGTGTCTTCTATTATTATTAATAATATTATTATTATTATTATAACACTCTCTGTTCACAGAAATATATAGTTTGTTTAAAGTTTATTTAGGTTTTTGTTTGAAATAAGAAGAATCCACTTGTTTACATTGAACTTTAACTTAACTATCAAAATAATAGAATACAAATATAATATAATAAAATATAAGGCTCTATTATATAATTATATATTTATTTTGTGAAGCTGGAGGAATCTAGAGTTTAATATTAATAGTATACTTTTATATTAATATGGAGCAAAGTGGGGACAGGTTTCTTCTATTGTTATTATTATTATTATTATTATTATTATTATAACACTGTTTATTTACAGTGAACTTTAACTTACATATATTTACATAATTATCAAAATAATAAATAAGGCTCTATCATATAATTATAAAATAGAGAGGTTACTTCCCCCTCACCGGACGCGGTGTTACCGGATGAAGTGACTCACCCTCTCCCCACGATGAGCCGCAGTGTCTCGAGGTTCCCGTGGTAAGAGGCCCACAGAGTCGGTGTCATCCCGTCCTCGTCCGGTGCATTCAGCTCCTTCCGCGTGGCCTCCTTCAGCGCGTCCAGGTACCCGTCCCGGGCCGCCCGGTGGTACCGGTCGTCCATGGCTATAAGCCCCGGCTCACTCACTCTCGGTTCGGTTCCATGGAGGTTCTGTGGAGGGTGTCCGGACGGACGGACGGACCGACCGGGCTGCAAGAGTGGAGACGAACACGCGGCGTGCTGATTGTCAGGTAGGGGCGGGGCTATGACGATGAGACCCGCCCCCTTTTATAGTGTAGGCCAATAGAAAAATAATATAAAATTAAATGAAAAAAGTATATAAATAAATAAAACTGTTTTTAAAAACTTGAAAATAAAATAAGATTTAAATAAGATTTAAAAAAAAGTAGACTCTGCTGTAATAGTGGTTTACAGAATTATACTGTAAAGTACAATCACATTTAAGTTGTTTTTCTCTGAAACACCATAACAGTAAAGGTAAACATGTGAAACAATAACGATATTAAAGTCTAACAGAAAGTGACTCTGACATCATCGAGCATCACTGATTGATATGTTTATGACTCAGATCAGTCTGATGAGATAAAGTCATGCATGATGCAGAGGCAGATGTCATGTCAGCTACACTTATTAAAAACTAAACAAATGAAGTGATTTACATCGTGGTGCTCTGTGGGCTGCAACTTTGCATCATCTTTGGGTCAACTGACATTTACCTAAAGCAACGTTTAAAGGGTCAGTTCTCTCAAATTACCAAAAATAAAGAAATACATTTTATTGCTTGAGGTATATTTATCTAAAAAGGTACATTTAAAAAAACAAATGTGTTTTCAGAAAGATCGTCCTCAAGGATCCTCAAATAATCCTCAGAACTCAACGATTATAATGGAACTAGTGTCAAACAAAGAAATGTTCGCTGCTAATAGATTTTCAAACAACAAATGTAAATGAGTGGAAGTCAACAGACAAACATTCAAAATGTAAACACAGCAGCATGGTTTGCATCAGCAGATGTCATTCTAAATAAATACACTAAAACATGCAAAACTTCTGTATACACAGTTTCAGCTCTTCATTATTATTATTATTATTATTGTTATTGTGACAGTTGAGTGTTATTACTCGTATATTTGGTGGCGCAAAGGTCGGATTAATATTAGTATAATTGTACATTATTATTGATATTATGATTATATAAGTTATGCTCTTTTATTTATGTATTTTTTTATGCACACACTTTTTCCCCACTGTTCCACTGATTTTCATTCATTTCTGTGTGTTTGTAAAATAAATATAAATGATTTGTTACATTAGTGCAGTTCATGTGCAGATTGAAATGAAACGTCTGCACTTCAACTTTCACCAAAAATAATGCAGACTTGATGGATTTTAATACTCAAGCATGTTTTATGAGTCGACAGAATAGAAACCAGTGCCGGCCTGAAACACAACATTACAAAAATCAAAGCAACATAAAATACACTAAATTTGTTTTAAATGGGCTCAAACATCCAAAACCTGAATGATCCTTTAAATGTGAGACTGAAACTGAGTTGAAGCCGGTTATCAGCTGAACTATTAGCAGCTACTTGAATCACAGCGGTGATAAGAGGGACGTACATTTAGAAGTCACTTCCTGGAGCCGATTTTAAGCAAACAGGGACAAGACCTGGACCAGAGCCCAGCTGATAAACCCTTTCAAAGTAAAATGGAGCCGCAGCGAGAGTGGACTTTACTATCCCACTCAGGAAAAGTGCTTTCAGTCAGTCTGAATGTTCTGTGAAAGATGAACTAGAATGTTGAATATTGAACTGGACAAATACATTTAAAGCTCATTTAAAGAAACGGTTCATTAGGACCAGCTCTGTCAGAACATAACTGCACCTTAATGTCCTCAATCTGTCCCTGCTGGGCTTCCCCCTGTCCGTCCGCTGTCGCCTGTCTGTCCGTCTTGTAATTACCAATCTTATATTCTGGTTTTTAAGTGGGACTTTATAACATCTACAGATGAAAAACTAATTTACAGAGAGAATTTATTAATGTCCAATGTCCTTGTCAAATAAACAAAAGACCTCACTGACAGATCAATATATATATCTAGATATATTTATAGATTAAAGGAGATTCTGCTGAGGTCATCTGGGTCCATGAACTTTGTTGAAGTGGCAGAGCAGGTGAAACAAAGGTCAATGTAAGCAAACATGATACCTGTTGGTTTCCCTGAGAAAGGTGTGTCGGTATATTTATGCACTGGATCGTGGCCACACCTGTAGGTGTGTGGAGGCGGATCAGAATGAGAACTTGCACCTTTATGACACAAGCCTCCACATGTTGAGCTGCAGGGTTCCGCGTAAAGTTGTGAGAGAAAACCCTGAAGACTGAATGGAAACGAGACGGAGGAGGATTTAAAGAGTTTTAGAAGAAATCAAAAAATATGAATCCAGATCCTGGAGTCACAGAGGCCGATTCCTCCCCGGGGACAACACCCGGAAGTGTCGAACCAGTTCACAGCTCAGACCATCAGATCCAGGACCCGGAGCTGGATCCGGGGTCGGTTTGGGCCCCCAGCGGGAGGCGTCTGATCTCCGGTCTGATGGGTCTGAACGTGGTGCTGCTGGGAGTGGCGCTGGTGGCCGGCCAGGCCTTCAACCCCGAGGGCCTGAAGCACCAGGAGCCCCAGGTGTTCATGCTGCTGCTCATGGGGGTCAGTTTGATCTGGATGCTGTGGTACCTGCTGTGGGCCAGGAAGCAGCCCGGCATCTGCCCACATAAAGACCACCACGCCGGGGGACTCGCCGTCACCGGTGAGCTCCTGTGTTTTCTGACTACGAAGAGTTTTGGACCGTGTACTGATGTACTTCCTCTCCTCTGGTCCAGTGGTCCTCATGCTGTTCGCCGCCTTCAGCCTGCTGCTGTGTGTCTTCAGGGTCGGGTATTTGATCAGCATGAGGGAGTGCAAACCTGCTGCTACGGTGCTCGCTCCGTTCATCGAGGCGTCTTTTCTCGCACTGCAGGTAACGAGATTTATGTTCTTTACTTTATGGAACAAGAGCAAGAAAACAGAAGGAAGACGTTGAGCAACATTTGATGATGCTTGAACTCTTGTGAAGCTTTTATTAAACTGGTCGGTCTCAACATGTAGGAATAAGTGGACCAAGGCTGCTATAAGAGGAGACAAAGAACTTTGAGAAGAAATGGAAACTGCAGTTATTTGATGATGCAGTTGCACAAAAATAGAAAAAAACATAACTGGTCACAAGATCTACATTTATAAGGAGGAATGTGAAAAAGGTAGATTTATCATTTTAGATCTACTTTGATTAACACAAAAATACAAAATTACAAAGACAAAAAGCAGATGTTAAATTGTCTAGAAGAATAAGAGCTTCTAAAGCAGAATCACAAGCAAACAAACGTCCCTTAAAATAATCTTTTAAATGCCTTAATAAGCCCATAATCTCTACAATCACTTCTTCAACTGAACTAAAGATCTGTGCAACATCATAACTCACTTACCAGAGCCCTCAACTGCATCTCATGGTCTTCATCGGTGGGTGGAATTGGCTCAGGTGTCGTCATGTTTACAAATTGTTGAATTTAATGCTTAAAATTTCATTAATAATTTGCAAAATTGAGGACAGATGGCTTCAATAAACCTTCATTAACTAAAACTATATCAGTTAATAACGTGAGAGCTGGCAGGCGAGTTATATTTAAAGTTTATTAGATGTAAAATCAGCACTTCTGTTCATAACCCCAAAAATAAAAGAGCTTTGACTCCAACACGTTTAGGCTCATTATTTGTCTCTGTTGCACTAATTTCAACCTTTTTTCTGCAGCATTTAGACATTACATTATAAAATACATGAATCTTTAAATTCAACTCAGAAATGGGCGTGGGCGATTGTGGCTAAGTGGATAGCAGGGCCGTCTTTCAATCAGAGGGTCGGCGGTTCGAGCTCCGCTAGTCGCATGTCGATGTGTCCTTGAGCAAGACACTTAACCCCAAAATTGCTCCCGTAGCTGTGCCTACGGTGTAGAAATGTGATACTCTGAATTGTAAGTTGCTTTGGATAAAAGCGTCTGCTAAATGACTGTAATGTAAATGCTCTTATTGAATAACTGTTTACTTTTCTTCTGCAGTCGTATTTACTGTGGGCTCACTCCAAAGACTGCATCCACAGACACAAGATCATCACCAGGTGCATCTTACACATCTTTAATACATGTTCCACATATGAACATATTGTCATTTATAGCTTCCGCTGTGTGTAATTTAACTGTTTGTTGTGTTTCATGTGTGTATTTGGGCTGCAGGTCCGGGTTGATGCTGATCCTGTCAGCTGACCTGCTGCTGTGGCTGAACGCGGTGACCGAGGACTCGATCCACGAGGAGATCGAGTTAGAAAAAGAAGACGGGCTCGATTTCAGCAACACAAACTCCTCTGAAGCACAAAACTCTGATGTAGTAGGTAATCAATTCACCAAAAGTTACCATTAGATAATGCGTTATTTGCATATTCAAACATAGCATTTCAGAAAACTTATAATACAATAAATAATAGTCTTAATGTCAGTAATGAACTGGTGAAGTTTCACGGTGATATCTACTCGTTATTTTGTTTCCTGCCTCCAGGAATCATGAACTCGACCTTCTGTCAGTGCGCTGCGAGTGCAGCCTGCCTCACCTTCAGGAAAGGCTTCGAGATCCTTTACCCCTTCAACATGGAGTTCAACCTGATGGCCGGCTGCATGGTCTACGTGATGTGGAAGAACGTGGGCCGCCGGATGAGTCCGGGTCACGGCCACCACGCCACCCAGAAGCTGACCCTCCGCATCGTGTACCAAGGCGGCGTCGTGTACGGCCTCGTGTTCGGCGCCCTGGCGCTCGTGGCGGGAGTGGCCGTCTTCATCCTCTACCAGGTCTGGGTGAGCCGGCAGCGGCTTCGCACCACCGCCTTCCTCGTCTTCTACGGCTACCATTTGGCAGTCATGCCCGTCATGTCCCTGTGCTGCCTGGTGGGGATGCTGGTCCACAGGCTGGAGAGGAGGGCGAGCGAGGCGGGACACAACCCGACCCGTAGCCTGGACGTGACGCTCCTGGTGGCGGCGGCTCTGGGCCAGCTCGCCCTGTCTTACTTCTCCCTGGTGGCGGCCCTGGCGGTGGGGACCAGCGGGCCCCTGGGGAACCTGGACCTGTCCTACTCCCTCCTCAGCCTCCTGGAGCTCATCCTCCAGAACATCTTCATCATCGAGGGCCTCCACAGGCACCCGAGCCTGCTCGCCAAGAAGAAAGAGAGGCAGCGGAGCAGCATATTCAAGGTACCTGCAGGTCACGTGGATGTTTTTATAAACTGGAGCAAGAAGTCAGTCATTAAAAAGGTTTTTATGTGTGTGAATGATAAACTGCCCCACAGCTTAAGAAAAAGGTTGCAGTCCCAATACAAGAAGAGAGGAAGACGAATATTTCACTGCTGGATGGGAACGCGCCAGCTGCTGCCATAGAGCATGATGGGAAAAACCCCTGGACCAAAAGAGCGATACAAGAAATCTGTGCTTTCCTCATCCTGTCTAACGTCATGGTAATATCCTGTGTTTATTATGCGATTCATGCAGCAATACAAGCTTCTTTCTGCACTCGTAATCCGCCCATGTTCCCTCTTACTGCAGCTGTGGGTCATCCCTGCGTTCGGAGTCCATCCTCAGTTTGAGAACGGACTCGGGAAACAGTTCTTCGGCTTCTCGGCTTGGTTTGTTCTGGTGAACTTGGGTCAGCCGCTCAGCGTCTTCTACAGGATGCACTCAGTGGGAGCTTTAATGGAGCTGCTCATCTCTGCGTGACTGTTAAAGTAGATGATATGAAAAATGTTTGGGGGGGAAAAACATAAATGATTTGGTTTATACAGTGTGAGGAGATTCCTCTGAGGCTGTTTGTTACAATGAGGCGTCAACCTCCGGTTCTAAAAGGTGAAGCTTCGTGTGTTAAAGCTGCGTTCTCTCTAGTGTCCACCAGGGGGCGACTCCTCTGGTTGTATAGAAGTCTATGAGAAAATGACTCTACTTCTCTCTTGATTTATTACCTCAGTAAACATTGTAAACATGAGTTTATGGTCTCAATCTCTAGTTTCAAGTCTTCTTCAATACAGCATGATGTTCATTTAGTACATTATGGTCCATTTAGAGTCAAACAGACCATAAAGCAGGGGATGCTTTAGGGAGTTGTCCATGTTTTTGTTTTACAACTTTAACCCTTTCAGTTTGTTTTCATTTCATGAAAGTTAATTGTAACATTTTGGTAGCCTAAAAATGTTTTATTCAAATATTCATTCCTTCTCGTGTCACTTCTGGTCGAATATCCAAGATGGTTACGGACAAAAACCAAGATGGGCTCGGCCATGATGCCGATCTCGAGGCTTCAAAACTGTGGTCCACAAACCAACGGGTGAAGTCATGGAGACCACGTCCACTTATATATTTTAGTGGTACAGCATACAATAATATTTGTTAAATGCAGTTTGTCTGTTTCCTGTTGCTTCTGTGCACAAAGCAACAGAGAAATGTATTTCACAGTTTGGTGAATAAATTAATGTTCAATAAACATCACTTCATTTCATGATTATGTCAAATTTAATGACCATTTGGCATTGCTCATAATACAGGCTGTATGTGATGCACAGTAGTAAGTGCTTTGACACATTTAGACATTTGTTTTTGTCTGAACCCTGACAGTTGTCAGGATGAATCAAGTACAAGATCTTTCGCTGCTTGTTTTCTTTAAATAAACACCAGAAAACGGTGAAATGTTCCTCCGGTCACAGTTCAGTGAAGAAGAAAAAAACAGCAGATGATGTTGTTGAGTTTGTGAGGAGAACAAAGTGAACCGGACACCTTCAACAGCCGCTCTAAATCCTCTGGATCTCAAAGAGCCGGATGTCCGTGTCGTACCAGATTGGAGGATCCACGTTGCTACGGCAAGAGAGGACCAGTTTGAAAATACATCTATCAGACTGCTTTTAGTTTCCGTAATATAACACGTAAAATAAACCGGTTGCTGGTGCTCGGTGTGTTTACCGTAAGTAGATGACGCCCCACATGTAGGTGCGGAACCACATGGCCGTGCCGGCGTTGGCCTGGTACTTCCTGATGAGGATGGGATGAGGGACGGGCAGCAGGCCGACGAGCGTGCCGTGCTGAAGGAACTTCAGGATTTCTGACTCGTCTGTCAAACCCCTGAGGACAACAACAACAACAACAACAGTTAATCTGAATGAATAAAGCTGCACAAATCAATATTATCTTAAAGTTACTGTGAGGAACTTCTAACTGGTTCTGAACCAGACTCAGTGTAGTCCTGGTCCTCTATCTGACCTCCATCAGTAAAGAGACCATCAGAGAGAAGATGGTCTGTTTCTATAGAGTATTCTTGATGCTCGTCATCGGAGCCACCAGGTCGGATTCTGGTGAAACCAGATGAACTCATGCAGGTTCACCAGAAACTCCTTCAGCTCAGACTCCAGCAGAGACCGGTCCAGCGTGGACAGACCCAGATCCTCCAGCAGAGACCGGTCCACCGTGGACAGACCCAGATCCTCCTGCAGAGACCGGTCCTCCAGCTTCTCCTCTCTGAGCCAACACCGACACCACGCTGCTGGAGACCCAGGACGTATTGCTGGACCCACTAGAGGGAAGGGAGGCAACGGGAGAACCAGAACCAGGACTGAGAGGGGCAGACTGTCAGAGCCTGCTGCAGTAAAATGAGAGGTTTTCTAACGAGAGTCTGGTGCTCAGAAAAACTACAGCTTTAGTCCACAGGGACCAACAGAACCACCATGATATTAAAAGTTCCTCATAGTGGTCTTGTTTACTTATGAATGTCATATAGAGGCATCAGTATTAGCCGGAGACTGTTTCATAACCAGTTAATAGTTCCTCACAGTAACATTATATTATCTGTGGTCACAAGACCAAAGGAAACTGTAATCTACCATTTACCCCTGAACAAAGATGTTTGGAATAAAAGAATAAAAGATGCATCACTTCTTACTTGTCGATGCAAATCTTCTCCACCTGAGGGACCAGCACTTGTAACAGCCGCATGATGGTCTGTAGAGGGAGTTTGGCTTTCCATGACAACACCTGAGAACACGAGCAGCACGATGGAGGAGCGACCAAGAGATGAGGAGTAAATACAGAAGGGAGGATAAAAAGACTTCTACTCACCCAGTCTGTCTTGGCGCTCCAGGCTGCCGATGACGACACGCTCGAGAACCGACCCCTCGCCGCCTCTGACTCTGTGTGGAAGACCTTTCAAAATAAAAGCATGTGGGAGTCACTTTACCTGCAGACAGAAGCAGAGAGTGAGACAGGCGTGAGGGCCGTCTTACCTCGTGGTCTCTCTCTGAGTTGGACTCCGTGTCGCTGGCTGCAGCCGCAGCGCTGCAGTCGGCAGGCGTCTGTGGGGAGTCAGGGTGGGACACAGTGACCATGGTGCCGTCCACGCTCACCTGGGACTTCTCCGTTATCTTATCGAGTACTACCGGAACGCAAGAGAAGACTTCTTTTTATGTTGCAGGGAAGAATTTGTCATGAAAACCGCTGCCTCATGCAGACTTGAGAGGTGGCTCTGATAAGGTTGTACATTACAGCTGTAGCTAACAGATGTCTAAAATACATTATAAACATAATTATAATCTACTATAGCTCTGTATAATCATAAGCACTCTATTCATAAATACTTATAATGCTTTCTAACAAGAATAAAAATACATTATAAAGCGTTTTATAATGACTTATAAGCATCATAATACTTCATAATTGCTGGTCACTCACTGACTCATAATTCTCACAGTTGTAATAAATTATAATCTTTTATCATGAATTATAATCATTGTTCTAATTAAAGTAATTCAAGTGAAAACAATATTAATAAATGTATGCAAGAACACAAAACATTTTAAAATACATTTTTATTTTACTTAAATCAAACAACATCAAAACGCCTCCGTTCATGCTCGCTCAGTCGAAGCAGATCTTTAGTGTATGCAGACTGGTACCTGGAGTGGCCTCTAAACTGGCTTTAAGTGTTCCGGGCTCAGCAGGACCTGCAGGTCTGGAGCTGTCCCTGGACTCCGTCTCCGTAGAGTTGCTCCTAGAAATCCCAGACTTCTTCTTCCTCTGCAGCGCACTCTGAACGGACGCCGCGTCGGACGGCAGGTTGGCCAGCTGGTGGAAGACGTTACGCTTCCTGATGATGGCGTACACCAGGTTGCAGTTACCTGTGAGGGGAGATTTCAGTTGGACCGGCACCATCACAGGTGTTTATTTTGACTTCACCTCGTCTCGTGTTTCTCACCATCGAACTGATACTGGATGATGTTGTTGAAGACCTCCAGCAGGAAGAAGACAAGGTGGTGGTTCTGTGGGGAGGAGAAGAGGAACCAGGGCGTGGAGAAGGCCTCCAGCAGGTGGAGCAGCTTGTTGGCCGCCAGCATGGACAGGCTCTTCAGATAAGGAGAGACTGTTGGAGGACAGGAGGCTTTAAAAACACTTATTTAACCACAAGGGGGCGACGTTGCATCTTGCAACTGACGTTGAATCAGTAATCTCTTTTAAAACACTTCGTAAAAAACATTTTTACAGACTGTTTTTTATGCGACGTCGTCGCTTTTCTGTTTTATTTGCTGATTTTACTAAATGTTTTACATTTCATTTGATTTGTTTCTTAGTTTATTTTGATCGCATCGACTGTCTCACTGAGCTTTCTGTTACTGTTTTCATCGCCTTGCTTTTGCTGCTTTGTCTGTCAAAGCACATTGTAAACTTTTAAATGTGTGACACTCACTGTTCACTATTATCGTGAGCAGGCAGTCAAACAGAGGCTGCAGCCGCTGGTTTCCACAGGTGATGATCTTGTGGAAGATCTTAAACATAAAAGGAATATTTAGAGTTATGGATTCATTCACAGAATATAAGAAAATACAGGGGGGGGGGGGGGATATTAACAGGAAATATCAGAACAACATCAGAAGTCCACTCATTCTTTCAGGTTTTTTAAGAAAGAATCTAAAATATAAATGTCACGTCACCAACACGAGCAGGTCGGCGTGGGTTCCCGTGAAGACGGGGATGTCCATTGGGACACGGAGAGCGTATGGTTTGTTCAGACGAACGCCAAAGTTTCTCTCTCCGCTCAGCAGCAGGAGGATGAACACACCGATGTGCATGAGGCCCACACGAGCTGCAGATGCACAGACAAAAAACATGCTTTTGTGTTAGTTAACGTCTCAATGTGCAGTGCACAAAACAGGATTATAATCAATCCGCTATGACTCACACTGATCTGCTCGGGCATCGTTCAGGCTGAAGAGGATGGGAACCAGCACGTCCAACACGTCGCTGCTCTTCAGCACGAAGAACAGGAACTTCTAAAAACACACAAAAACACAAACTTAATAAGCATTTATTTGAGTTTATAGAATATAAACATGGTTTGTTTTACTGGACAGTTCAGCCCAAAATAAAAAATAAAAATAACCTGTTGTGCTATTTATCAATCTAGATTGTTTGGTGTGATTTGCTGAGAGTTGGAGATATCCACTCGGCTTGTGATGCTAAATGTTAGCACGTTTAGCTTCTGCTAACCTCCACGACCATCACTGCTAAGCTACAGCAGAATGTTGCTAACAGACTAAACTATAAAGAGATGGAGAGATGACTTTTCTGTACTATTGCTTGTAGCTTCGTGGTTTCATAGAGTTTTTATTCATAGATAAACCGAGCTCGACACCTTGTTGAAGTCACAGAACTTCCAGAAGAGGATCAGCAGCTCCTGGTGGAACTGGATCTTCTTGGCGGAATGAGGCAGGTAAGTCTGGACCAGAGGGTTGTTCATCAGCCGAGCCAGACCTTTCAGGATGAAGCTCAAGTCCTGACAAACAAAACACAACACACACTTTAACGTCTGACAGTATCATCCTGTATTCAACGCTGAATAGTTTCGCTTTATTTCA